TATAGTGACCAGGGCCGGAGCAGCCGGCGAGGGCTGCCTCCCTCCGCACCCTGCCTCACGGCCCAGCCTGGGGGAGATGGGAATGAGCTTCGGCGAGGGCCAGAGCCAGGCTCAGAATCGGGTTCCCCGGGGGTGAGTCCAGGCAGACGGGGAGGGGGCAGGGGGCTGCGGAGAAGAGAAGGTGGGGTTGTACCATCATGCAGAGACCAGCTAGGCTTCCAGCCCACCTCCCTGAGGCTCCCACATGAGCGGAGCCCTCCGGGCCCACCCCGGGCAGCAGGGCGTGGGCCATCATGTCTGAGCAGTGCCTTCAGGAGAACCTGTGCAGAGCCGAGATCCTGACGCTTCAGCCAGCCCCCCTCCCCGCCCCGTCTGGATGTCTGGGGTTCCAATTCCAAGGTTGAACGGCCGGAGAGTGGCCACAGCACAGTGTCCGGCTAGAGTAAGTATGTGCTGCCCGCCTACGGCTCCTGAGAGGCAGAAGTTCCTTTGCCTAAAAGGACGGACGGAGAGAAACACAAATCACTGCTAAATTATGCTCCAGACACCATTCCCCGAGCTAGGCGCCCCGCTCCAGCCTGCAGAGCAGGGCAGCTGGGAGCACCCGGGCGCCCGGCTTGGGGGAGCCTGTGTGCCCCATTTTGTTCCCCGACACCTCCAGGAGAGCCCAGTCTCTCCCTCCTCCACGGGACAAAGGCCAGTAACTACAAAAGGACAAAATCACGTCACACCTTACCATCGCCGGCCCTACGGACCCTCTCGCCTAGCCTCACTCCCTCAGGACAGCAGCCAGCATGTGCTGTTAGCAAGCCCATTTTACAGAGGACCAAACTGAGATTAGGGACTGGCCACGGCCCTGCTGGCGGCAAGTGGGGAGCTGGGATTGGAACTACCAAGCGTGGGCAGGAGTCCAGAGGGGCCGGCGGTGCAGACAGACGTGCTGACTTGTGAGAACCTGTGCAAGCAAGAGGGCCAGGGCCCAGAGGCGACGCTGCGCCCAGATAAAAACCCACAGGAGAGACAGCTGCCGAACAAACCCCAGCACCGGGGCCCTCGTCCCCAAGACGTGGGCCACTTTGCTTTTACGCTTCACGTGCGTTACACACGCATTATCTACGTGAATGAGGCAGCGGTTTTAATCCTAAGCGATAAGGTATCATACGTGAAACTCCTCTGGATTTCTGTCAGTTACTGAAAACAGCTACCGATGCACAAGGGCTTTCCTAACAAGGAAGTGGCACGAGGCGAACTTCCGGTAACTGGGAGGCACTCTTCTCTGCACACCCTTCTGGCTCATGGAAGGTTTCGTAGGGACACTCCACCTTCAGAGGGTGGAGAAATCTGTTATAAGAACACTGCTGGGTCGGCTCAGTCAGTTGAGCCTCCGACTTCGGCTCAGGTCGTGATCTCGCGGTCCGTGAGTTCGAGCCCCGCGTCAGGCTCTGTGCTGTCAGCTCGGAGCCTGGAGCTGCTTTGGATTCTGTGTCTCCCTCTCTCTCTGCCCCTCCCCTGCTCACACGCTGTGTGTGCGTGTCTCTCTCTCTCAAAAATAAATAAACACTAAAAAAAAAAAGGGAAGACCTGCCAACAGGAGGACACACGGGAGCGCTTACCGTGTGCCAGGCCCCAGGTGCATCACATCAACACGGCTGTCCTCAAACAGCCCGTGAAGGAGGCTCTGCGATCACACCCACTATGCAGAGCAGGAGGCCAGCTCAGAGAGGCTGAGGAGCAAGGCTGTGGCCACACAGCCCAGCCCTCAGCGTCTGCCTGGCCTTGCCTCCCCCTCTAATCTCTGGGAAGGTCCAGGCCCCCACAGAAAGCCCTTCACCACAGATGCCCCTTTTTTGGGGCACACGTGACCCATCGGGACACCTGCCCTTGTCCTTGCCCTGCAGCCACCTTTTTGGAGTGGCCCTGGGCAGCTCCTGGGCAGTGTGCTTTGGTGTCCCGATGCTTCGTCACTGCGAGTGGACAAGAACCGTGTGTCCCCCACCCCCGGGCCTCTGAAATGTACAACAGGCCTGTGTCCAGCTGCTCACCTTTCGGGATGAACTTCAGCGAGCTGCTAAATATTCAGAAGCGGGACTGTCCCGGCTTGGGGCCATCGTTCAGGAACTCATGTCCCAGCCCATTGCCGCACCTGCCACAGGACACCTGGAAAGACCACAAAACAACTGCAGCGATGGCCCCCCTGCCACCAGCAGAGATGGTGTCCTCCCCCCACCCATTTCCCAAAGTAACTGTGGGCAGGAGAGGTCAACCTCCATCCCAGAGCCCACACAGGAAAGCAGTCCCGTTTCCCCATCTCCATTAGGACCCCAGGCTCCCCAGGTAGGGTGGCAGAGGCCAGAAGACCGGCACAGACAGACTCTAAGCCCCAAGAGCTGTGGGGGAAGCAGAGAAGGAGCAGCCACCTCGGGCTCTCCCTGGCCAACACCCCTCCCCACCCCCTGGGGCTGCCACCCACCTTTAAGGCTTTAGGCGAATTGTGCTCCGGACGCTTGGCCACACTATCAGCATGAATGGTCTCAGTGAAGGCCGGCCACGGGGACGAGTGTGCATACTTTGAGCGGCTGGAGAAGAGCTCGTAGCCACACTTGGCACACACATAGACACCTGGGGGCAGAAGGAAAGACAAAGGCAGACACATTGGCTCCAGCCTCTCTGGGGTGAGTGCCCAAATCCTCGGGGCGAGAACACAGCACCGCCCGTCTGCAGGGTGGGCTGCACATTCTACCCACGCTGACACCTGCCACTCTCAGGCCTGGAACACACCACTGAGCTCACGTTCAGTGGTCCTTAGCATGTGCCACGAAGAGCCACTTCTCACACTTATCTCATTGAACTTTATCCACAGTCCTGTGATGTAGACCCTTCCAGTTTAGCTTAGTTTTGTGGTTGCTTTTTTTTTTTTTTTTTCCAAGTAGGCTCCGTGCCCAATGTGGGGCTTGAACTCACGAGCCTAAAGTGCCAATGCTCCACCAGCTGAGCCAGCCAGGAGCCCCTTTTTCAGTTTTGTTTTGTAAGAGGACCTTTCCGTTTTAGAGATGCAGTGCCCCAGTGATGCAAAACACAGCTCGAGGGTGTGCAGTCAGGAAGGAGCCCAGACAGTATGATGAGGAGACAGCACTCCCACCCCAGCAGGCCCCAGCCCACCTCCCTTCCAAGTGGCCGTTCCTGATGCCGGGGAGGCCTTGAGCTGGACACCCAGCCACCGGCCTGCTCTCTGTGAGGGAAGAGAATGGTCCCACCAAACAGGTCTCCAGGCCAGACAGGGGGCCCAGGAAGACAGAGACCCAGGGAAGAGAACAGGTTTTAACCCAGCCCCAAAAGATCACTTTGAGGGGGGGGAAAAAGGCTGCAAAACCGACCTGCGGAACAGGTAACTGCTTGGGGCCCCCCACAGGGGAACCCCGCACCCAGTGCCCACCCTGAGGACAGCCTACCCCAGAGTCCATGAACTACACAGCCTTTGCCAGCCACTGGAGAAGGAAGCAAGAGGGGGATGCCCAGCTGCTGTGGAAGTGGAGCTTCCTGCCTGGCAGAGCCCCCTGAGGACAACTGGGGGCCTACCGCCAGAGGGCCTCGGTGGAGGGCTTTGCCTAGAGAGTCCTGTGCCACAGCTGACATCCACAGATGCCCAGTGTCACCGCCCAGCCTCCTAGAGGGCTGACACCCAAAGGTTCCCACCGAGGCAGTGCACTGCCCTAGTCTTGCCTGTGGGGCACATTTTTACCAAATTAGGCCATTACCAGACAGCACGGCCCAGAAGGGGACAACTCGGGGCCTCTCAAAGCCTGGGGCCTGGAGGGACGGTTGTCCACGTCCCAAACACCCCCACCCCCACTCCAGCTGTCTGGTCAAACTTCACTGGCACTTGGTTGCCCAGCGGCTCTCCTGGTTACCCAACCCAAGGGCCCTGGGCAGATGGGGGGAGGCACCCGGGAAGACACGTTGGGTCCGAAGGGAGCGCTCTGTGCTTGCCAGCTTACCTTGTGGATCCCAGGAACCCGGGAGGGGAAAAGGCAGGGCTATCATCAGGGGTATGCCCTAGGACAAGATCCTCGATCGTGTCCCTCTGAAGTCCAGATCCCAATCCGGATCCCCGCACCGGCGTCACCCCCTCCCTGTACCCTGACCCCACGGATCCCTCCCAGAAACGGCCTTGCTCACGCACTCCTCGAGGTCAGCAACGCCCTCGCTCTAATGTCCCCTCTCCCCCTCAGGAACCCCTACTTTTCAGGCTCCCCAGACCCCCCTACTCCGCGGTCCCCTTTACTCACATGCGCTGCTCCCCGCGCGATCACATTCGCCCCCGGTGGGGTCCGCCCTTCCCGGGGCTCAAGGGTTCCACCACCGCCCGAGAGCAGCGACGCCCACTCTCTACGCGCCCCCTCCCCGCTGCCCTCCCAGGAGGTCACAGAACAGACCTGGCTCAAAGTGGTTCTGGAAAACCTCGCCCCCGAAGAAGCTGCAGAACGACATGGCGCCGACAGCACTGCGGGGCAACCGCTTCCTCGGACAGATCCGAGGCCACTGGCCGACTGCCCCCGGGCCGGCGCCCGGGGCCCGCCCCTCCTCCCGAGGCCCAATCACTGCCCGGATCCGGGACGAGGCCCCGCCCCCCAGAGGACCAATCACGACCCTCCATGAGGCCCCGCCCCCTCCCCTCCCGCGGACCAATCTCTCCCTGGGGCGAGGACCTGCCCTCCGCAGTTTCCTCACAGGCCCCGCCCCCGACTGCTCCAGGGACAGCTAGGGAGCGGAGTCCCCGACGCCCGCGCTCGGCAGCCCCTCCCGAGCGCCAGGGGGCGCCGCTGAGCTGCGCCGGCTTGGAGCGGCGCCATGCCGCAAGGGTCCTGGCCGCCCGCGGAGCCGCCGGGCCACCCGCGGTCCCCCGCCTTTCCGCGCTCGCAACTCTGAGACACCGTGGGAAGAGTCGCCTTCGCACTTTATTAGACAGAGGGGGCAGGCAGGGGTCGCGCATGCTTCCTTCAGGCTCCCTCCATCCCAAGCCGCCTACAGGTCTCTCGAGGTCTCGGACTTTTCCTTCTCAAGATGTTTCTTCTGGGGACCCTGGTTGAGGGGTTGGAGGAGACAGCAGCGCTCGCCACGGAGTTCTAGCCGGGAATACTGGCCCTGGCCAGCCTCTGCTCCGCTTTCTTTCCACGCACGAGTCAGTGCCCGGGACTGGACTCCTATAAGCCCCTCCTCTGGATGAGGGCAGGGGACGCCCCAGCCACCCTCATCTGCTCCAGCTCCCCAACTGTGGCGCAAGAGGGGTGTGGGGTCTGAGCCCCAGAGAACAAGGGGTAGGTGGGCTCACCATGAACACCCTCTTCTCTTGGGCCGTCTGGAAGCGGCCGTGGCCAAACTTGGAGGTGGTGTCGATGAACTTGAGTTCGATGTTCTCCAGGGCCTGGCGGCTGTGGTGCACCAGGAGGGACTGGAGAGGAGCAAGATGCAAGGTCCTCACCCACTGCCTCCCGCCACCCCCAGGCCACACGGGAAGGTCTCACTCACTCGGCTTCTGCCAGAACCCCTCCCTCTTTGCTCTCCCTATTCCCACCCTCTTGGGAGCAAGGTGAAGGACAGGGCAGGCCAGTCCCTCGACCCTCCCACCATAGAGGCACTGACCTTCCTCAGCGTGATGACCCGCTTCTTGGTGCCCGCGATGCAACCCTTCAGCATGACGAAGTCATTGTTGACTTCCCCGTAGTGGGGGAAGCCGCCCTGCGGGGAGGTGGGTCAGGATCCAGGCTCCGAAAGGGGCTGCACTGTTAGGGGCAGCTGCAAGCCCCGGGAGAGCTCCCCACACATGAGCTGGAGCCAGCCCCTGGCCCCAGGGCAGCACCTGAGCCACATTCTAAGTCCTTATCTCACTGAACGCTCTTAGCGAGGGAGACACTGAGGCTCAGAGAAGCAGAATCACTCGTTCAGGCCTTGCAGCTGCTACATAGTGCAGCCGGGACTTGAACCCAGGTGGCCCGAGTCCCAGGCCACGGCTGGACCTGCCATGCTCCACACCCATGATGGCGGTCGGAGTGTGAGCTGTGTGCCGAGGGGGCTCAGAGGATGCAGGGACGGCAGGAGTTTGTTCCACCGGGGGGCTGCTCGCTGGGGCCCGAGCTCTGGGGGCAGGGAGGCACCCCACACACCTGCTCCACACGTGCACACCAGACCCCCTCACCAGCGGCGTGATGGACTTGTCCGTCACATCGTAGCTGGTGGACGCATTGTTCCTGACCACCTTCCCGTCCTCCGTGTGCAGCCCGCGGCCAATACGGTAGATCTGCAAGAACAGGGCACGTGGCAGGCAGCACGTGGCCTCTGGAGCCAGTGGCAGGTCTATACCCATCAGCACGGGTGCTCAGACCCAGGCACCGGCAGGGGCATTTCAGAGCCTTTGGGGGGCCAGGCAGCGTCCGGGTCAGGCACCCTACCCACTGGGGTCCGGTCACGAGTGTCCCTCTGCCACCAGGACTGCGGACGCACCTTCTTGTTGAGCTCCGTGCGGTGGTGATAGCCCTTCTGCCCGGCCCGAGCGATGGAGCAGCCCACACGGGCAGGGTGCCAGGCGCCAATGCAGGCCACCTTGCGCAGTCCCTTGTGGGTCTTCCGTGGCAGCTTCTTGGTATGCCAGCGGCTCGTGACCCCTGCAGGTGGTGGGGGCGGGCTTAGAGGCCAGTCTGGCCCCCACCCCCTCCAGGCAGCCTTCCTGGAGCCACCGTCCCCACCCAGCCCTACCTTTGACCCCCCGGCCCTTGGTGACAGCAATGACATCGATGACCTCACTCTGGCTGAACACACTGTGCACCGGCACCTGCTTCTCCAGCCGGGCCTGGGCCCAGGCCACCTTCTCAGCCACCGTGCCGCCATTCAGCTGGATCTCCATGATGTGGGCCTTCTTCTGCCGGAAAGGCAGCAGCTTCATCTGCAGGACATGGCCCGGCCAGTCGGTTCCCAGAGGGCTGCACCCCCCAACCGCAGACCTGGCATGACTGGCTGGTGACCCCCAGCAGGCTTTCATGCATACATGCGTTCAGCCGATGTTCCAGTACTCCAGTCTTTCGATATGCTATATTCTGTGCTGGGCACCGGGGAGGACTGAATATTCTGATGGAATATTGGGGGCAGCAGGGACAGTTACTGCCCGTAAGGCAGTACGTGTCCTCTGAGGGGACACCCCTCAATAACAAGAAGGAGCTACTGAGTGAAGATCTGAAAGTTTGGGGAGCAGAGGGAACCACCTGTGCAAAGGCCCTGTGGCAGGGAAGATCCTGGGGAGCTGGTGGGCTAGAAAGGAGAGCAGTATGTCTAGACCGTGGTGAGCAAGGAGGAACGTGGTGCAGGATGAAGTCAGAGGTGAGCTGGGCCCTGCCCGGGCCAGTCTTGAAGGGAGAGGCTTGGGCTTTATTCTAAGTGCAGGATGTGGCACAATCTGGTTCATGTTTTTAGACACCTCTGGCTGCTGCTGTGTGAGGCACGGGCTGCGGGGACACACGGGTGGAAGCAGGGACGCAAGTCACAGCCCAGTGCTCAACATGTACTTATGGAGCACCTACTGCATACAGGGCTCTCGGTGGCTGGGGTGCTGGGGGCACAGCACTGAACAGGCAGCCACGGCCCTGCCCCCGTGGAGCTAGTCTGTAAAGGGAAACGGACAGGACCAATGACACGTGTAACCAGGAACAGCAAGTGTGGCAGTAACCGAGGCAGGGGAGCAGAGGGGTGCTGCTCCAGGCCTACGCAAGCCTTCCCTGAGGACAAGATGCCAAGGACTGTTCCAGAATAAGCCAGAAGATGTTAGCAACCTGTCAGCCCACTCAAGCCAGACCCCACGTACGAATGTTGACTCACACACACCTTGTGCCAGGACCCAACGGGAGGTGGCTGGCCCTCTACACTGGACATTGGCAGGAGATCCAGGCCTTGTGGGGCGTGTCAGGGCCTTGGTTGACCACTAGGCGTGGCGGACGGCCCAGAGCCCTCAGAGCACACGGACGCCCATCCCCGGGGCTGCGGGAGGCCAGCACAGCCAGTCCCCCAGCCCTTTGGGGCTGTGCCCCGGCTCGTGGTATTTTTAGGCTGACATTTGCCAGGGCTCCTGGAAGCTGGGGCGGGGGAGGGTGGGCCCAGGGAGTGGACCGGCCGACCGGGTGCGGACGAGGTGGCAGGGCTGACCTGAGTGTGGACAATGACGCGAATGACTTTGCAGTACTTCTTCATGGCGGCAAAGTCTTTCTGCAGCTGCTTTTTGCCCTCGGCGTCACGCCATCTCTTGCAGGCCTTGGTGAAGGCTTTCTTCTTGCTCTTGTGCCTGAGCCACACGCAGGAGACACGTAGAGGGGCCAGCCGGGGCAGCTGCCCAGGCCTGCCCAGCCCCCACGTGCCCACAGCCCACCCCACAGGCCCCTCAGGGCAGGGAATGTCCTCTCCTCCCTCCTTCCCTTCCCGGGGAGGCCACCGCAGGGCCCTCCCCCGGGGCTCCCCGTCGTCGTCAAGCACAGACTGCCCCTCCCTCTCCGGGTCTCCGGCTCCTCCTGTACAGAGCGGACGCGCTCCGCCTCCTGAGGCCTGCGTGTGGGCGTCAGATGTGCCCGAGCTCGAGGGAGGCGCGTGCTGGCCGGCGCCACGGCCACCTGCCTACACCGCTGCGGCCGCAGACCCCGCTTCTAGGGCCAACGGCCAGTACTGGCCAGGCGCCACGCCGCGTCATTCCCAACCCTCCCCCAAACTCTGGAGGGTGGATGTCCTGTCCCCATTCTACAGAGGAAGAAACGACAGCTCACAAAAGTCAAAGGCCCTGGATGAGGGCCAAATTGATAACAGTAGAAAGAACAGAAACAAGGCCAGCTGGCACTCGGTGAGCACTTTCTGTGTGCTGAGCACTTGACACACTGCTCATTTAATCCTCACGGCAGCCTCATGACACAGGGATTACTCCATCGGATGGTGTCTCCATCTGGTGGTGTCTGTGATGGGGGGGGATCAATCTAAGAGGCTCTAAGAGGTGAGCCAGCTCGCCTGTGGTCGTACAGCCCGTGCTGGCTCAGAAGCCCAAGCTTATTACCTCCCAGACAGGGCCAGGACCGGGCTATGCCTCTAACTCCGTAAGGATGGGGGTGTCAGTGAGGTTCCTTGGGCACATGGGCCTTCCCTTTCAGGACTGAGTGCCCCCAAATGCCTTCCTTTCTGAGGAGAAGAGCTTGTCAGCTAGCTATTTCCCTTTTCACCCTTGCTGCTAGGAAGCTCTGAGCCGACTCTAACATTTCATCAAATTAGTCCCTTAATTAACCCTGGGGATTAGAACATGCGCTTCCCCTCTTCCTCTATCCCAATTTCCACTCCAGCCCCCTAGTACTTGTCTTTCATTGAATTGAAGGCAACCTACCCCACAAACACTTTCCTGCCTCCCATACACTGTTGCCACTTCCCACCCCCCTCGTGCCAGTCCACAGGTGGTCCCCCCGGGGGCAACGCTCACCAGTCCTTGTAGAAGCGGCGACGGCACTCATCACTGAGGTGCTCTGCAAAGATGGTCTTGAAGCTCCGCAGGCCTCGAGGAGTGGCCACGTAGCCCACAACGCCGACCACCACCAGAGGCGGCGTCTCCACAATCGTCACTGCCTCCACTTCCTCCCGCTTCGAAATTTCTGGAGGGGACCCGGAGACAGGGGCATGGAGGAGGGCCTCTGGGACCCACGGGGAAAGGGGATGGAGTGGAAGAGCCAACCACAGCCCCTCCTGCCCAAGGGAGGGTGGAGCACCATGGCCTTAGGGCTCCCACTGATCTCCGGCCCCAGCCTGCACCCTCCCTGCCCCTTCTCTCTGCTCCGTCTGGGACAAGGAGCAGGTGCTGGGCAGGGTCCTTCAAGTGGTCTCTGCTAGCTCTGACTCTGAGATCTCAGACAATGCCTGACTTGCTCCCTGCCTCAGTTTCCCCATCAGACCCTCTGGAAATGGGCGAGGAGAGACGACAGCCAGGGCAGCATCCCCCGAAGGGCAGGGTCGGGACTCCTTTAGTGGAGAGCACGTGAGCCGTTGAAATTTTATTTAAAAAAAATTTTTTTTAACGTTTATTTATTTTTGAGACAGACAGAGACAGAGCATGAACAGGGGAGGGTCAGGGAGAGGGAGACACAGAATCCGAAGCAGGCTCCAGGCTCTGAGCTGTCAGCACACAGCCCGACGCGGGGCTCGAACTCACGGACCGTAGATCATGACCTGAGCCGAAGTCGGACGCTCAACCGACCAAGCCACCCAGGCGCCCCAAGCCGTTGAAATTTTAACAGTTGTGAATATACGTTGATGAGCTCTAGAAAAATACCTGTATTTTGTCCAAAACCCGTGATTTCATAGATGTTATTACTGACACTAAAACAAAGTAAAAGCAAGTCCAAAAGAAACATATCAGGAGATGGGGAGCCTGCGTGCCTCAGGTGATTAAGCGTCCGACTCTTGATTTCAGCTCAGGTCATGATCTCACGGTTCGTGTGAGATCCTCCACCGTCAGTGTGGAGCCTGCTTGGGATTCTCTCTCCCTCTCTCTCTCTGCTCCTCCCCCTCTCACACTCCCTCGCTCTCAAAAATATATACATGTATATACATACACACATATATGAGGTGATGAACAGAACACATGAGTAGCTGCCAGAAAGTTGGAGGCATGGTGGCTGATGCTATAAAGGGGCAGCAGGAAGGACTCCCGTGAGGATGGAATGTTCCATGGTACACACATTTACACGTGGCAGAGCCGCATGGAACTAAACACGCACAGGAAACCTGAACACGATGGGTAGGCTGTATCCATGTCGATAACCGGTTGTGACATATTACCGTAGTTTATAAGATGTTTCCGTCGGGAAATTGGGTCACGGGTGCATGGGATTCTACAATGATCTCAAAACAAAAGGTATATCGGGGCACCTGCCTTTGAACTGTAGCTCTCCCACTTACGGACTGGTGATGGGCAAGTTTCATAACTGCTTAATTTCCTCATCTGTAAACCGGGGGCGATGACAGAACACACCTTGAGGGGTGGCCAGCGGTCAGGGCTTGGTGACAGTCAGTGTCCTGACTGTGGTTCCTGCGGCATGGCCTCGCCCTTTCTGGGACCGTCTCCCGTCCTGGCGCCCAGTTCAGGCTCCTGGCCTCCGGAAGTCTTTCCAGACCCTCTGGCTGTTGGGGATGCTCCACACCCTCCCCCACCCCCGTGTCCCCCCGCAGCCACTCACTGAGCCCCGGCCGGTGCACTTCTCGAAGAGTGTGCGTCATGCCAGCCTTGTAGCCCAGGAAAGCCGTGAGGTGCACCGGCCGGCTGGGGTCGTCCCGAGGCCAAGTCTTCACCTTGCCCCGGTGCCGGCTGCTCCTCTTGTGGGGCAGGAAGCCCAGGTGTCCGTGCCGAGGGGCAGAGAACTTCCGGTGGGACTGGGGGTGGGAGGAGGAGGGGACAGTCAGAGCTGGGGCGTCTCTGGGCCCGGAGAAGTGAGTCAGAGACCCCAGACGGGGCCCTGGTGGTCTTCAGTGCCTCCATCTATCTATAGGGAAGGAGGGCAGGTCGGCTCAGGGACAGTGTCTTAGGGACAGAGCCAGCACCAAGCTCTCCTCACCCGCAGGCTTCCCGCTTTAGTGGGCTCAGCCTGCTGGGCCCCGGAGGGACAGGCCCACCCTGTGGCCGAGGGCTAGAGGGAAAGGGAGGCACAGCCATCTGTCTATCTTCTTGCCCATTCCAGGCCTGGCAGCCTGAGCTCTGGCCCCCTGTTGTCCCCTTCAGTCACCTCCTCCCCTACAGGCCCAAGGACCATCCCTGCTGGGAAGAGACTCCAGAAGCCCACCTGCCCCTCCCAGGAAGCTGGCTGGCTCCAGCCCCCTAGCCCACTGACCATGGCAGCCCGTCCCCGCAGGTCAGGAAAGGAAGGGGCCTCCCCGACAGGCGCTGGAGGTCGAATGGCAGGGCCAGAACGCCCGGCAGCCAGGTCCCAGATTTAGCCCCTGGCAGAAGAGCTTGGTCATGTTCCGTGGCGGTCATGGGCTCTGGTGCCAGGAGCAGGCCTGGCCTGGGGCGGAGCGAGAGGGGGCATCCGATGGGCAGGCTGGGGTGGGGATACCTGGAGCCAGGCCTCTCACTGCTTTCCTCAAGGGCCCCGGGACTAGGTCACACCACTTCGTTTTCTGCCTTGTGTTGCCCTCCCAGGCCAGGAACAAGTCGGCCCGGTAAAGAGTCAAGGAGCCCAGGTTGGGGAGAGGGCTTCTCTCAGGCAGCTGCGGTCAGGAGGGTCTGGTCCACTTGGCTGGCAGTTCCTGTCTCGTCCTGAGGGCTGCGAGCAGGGCCTGGTCAAACTGCCTGGGGTGCCGGGGGCCGGGGGTGGGAATAGCTGTCATCCAAGAACAAAGGTTCTACGCTTATCAAGTTCTGAACCTATAGACAGAGTCAGTTTTACAGGCCTGAAATGTCTCTGAGGGCCTAGGGATCTTGCCTTGCTGGCGCTAAGATTTTGTGCTAGTAAAATGTCACAATTCTCTGTCATTGCTGTTGTTAATGACAAAAAAACTTGTAACACTTTGGGCTGAGCTCCACAGGAATTAAATCACTGGGAAGGGGCAACCCTCAGCCCCAGGAGTGGCCCAGGGGGAGAGAGACTACCTGAGCGGAGGAAGCACAGAAGGGACACCCGCAGGGGCGCCTGGGTGGCTCAGTCGGTAAAGCGTCCGACTTTGGCTCAGGTCACGATCTCACAGCTTGTGAGTTCAAACCCCGTGTTGGGCTCTGTGCTGACAGCTCAGGGCCTGGAGCCTGCTTGGGATTCTGTGTCTCCTTCTCTGCCCCTGCCCCGCTCACGCTCTCTCTCTCTCTCTCTCTCTCTCTCTCTCTCTCTCTCTCTCTCAAGAATAAATAATAAAACATAAAAAAAAAAAAGAAAAGAAGGGACACCCAGACACTCAGGGCAAAGGGAAGGCCACCCATGCTGAGGCCCTTGAGCACATCAAGACAGGCGGCTGTGGTAGGATCGGTTCTTGGCACACGGGCCAAGAACCAGGGGGCCAGGCACAGAGCCACAAGCTACTTGGGCTCCTCCCTCTCGTATGCCTTTTCCTGCTTCTGCTACATGATCCCCAAGCCCCTCTGCTACCAAACAGCAGCGGAAAGATGCCACTCCCGCGCTTTGCTTTAATCGAGTTCTCTGCTTTCTCATATTCTTCTGGTGAGCCATAGCGGTGGCATCGGGCCTGGCTCTGTGGGATCCCCTTGTTCACCCCCACGGTACAGGCCAATGTTAAGATTCTTTTGGTCTGACAGTGTGTGTTTCTAAGGGTTCGTGATTTCACGATCTGACATTTCTGTGACCCCAGATCCTGTGCATCCGTAGAGTTGATGGCTCCATGTCCCTGACCCCGGCCTCCAGGCATGAAGTGACCAGCACCCTCCGTGGTGCTGGCCGAGGGCCATGCCAGATATGGAGATCATGGAAGGTGATCAACAGGGCGCTGGTCAGTGGAGCTACCCCAGGGGGCACAACAGTGCTCGGGGCCGGGACAGAAACATCAGTCCCAGACCAGAGCACTCTGCGTCCAGCATAGGAGCCACTTCTCCCTGTGGGTGAGAGCCCCAAGGGCAAGCCCTGCCTCTTGTTCTGCCCCAGAAAGGCCCCCTAAGCTTACTGGCATTGGCCAATCCATGAGGGGCTCTGGAAGACACAGTGGAGCCCAGAGAAGGCTGCAGGGAAGGGACAATTCAGGAAGGCTTCCTGAAAGAGTGGGGCATTTGGTAGTTTGTTATTTGTTGACTTTGTTGTGTTTTTAGGTTGTTCTACAGGTCTGAGTTCTCCAGAAGGGCCCAGCTCTGTGCGTCTTGCTGCCTACTGCACTTGCCACGTACCTGCACACCAAAGAAACTGAATGAATAGTCTGCTTCTTCCAGTGTTTGTCTCGTCTTACAACGTAAGCAGGGGCCTCTGTTTTCTCCACTGGCGTATTCCAAGCGCCGAGACCAGCGTCTAGCGCACAGCACACAAACCACAGCCCCCGCGCTGGGAGGGGTTTCCCGAGCCCACCATTGGGCGGGCCTGCAGAACTACGAGTCCCATGGTGCCTCGCGAGCGCAGGCAGTCCCGCGCAGGCGCAGCTGTCCTACAGCGGCCTCTGCAGCGGGAGAACTATAAGTCCCATGGTGCCTCGCGAGTGCCGGCCGCCTTGCGCCGGCGCAGCCGCCCTAGGGTGTCCTCTGCTGCGGGCGAACTAGGCCGTGGTAACCGGTCAGAGGCCAGGCTCGCTCGTCCGAGAGAAGAGCCCCACCGCACGCCGCCGCGATGCCGGATAGCTGGGATAAGGACGTGTACCCGGAACCCCCGCGGCGCACACCGGCGCCCTCGCCGCAGACCTCGCTGCCCAACCCCATAACCTATGTGACGAAGGCCTTCGATCTCCTCGTGGACCGACCTGTGACCCTAGTGAGAGGTACGAACCCCATCCGGGCCTCACCGCTCCCCAGGGCCCCCCGCCGCCCAATCTGGAATACTCCGCCGCACCTAGGGCTTCGCCCCTGTGACCGGTCCCCGTCGTCCCCACCCGGACACCTGGGGTCTCGTCGCCTCCTTGGACCCCCACCCCGTTTCCACTGCACCCTAGGAACACCCCTCGCTTCTGCACCAAGACCCCTCATTGCTTTCCGGCCCTCGCCGCCTGGCGGAACTCTCCACGCACCCCTGGTCTCCAGGCTCGCCCAAATATTAAGGGGGTGTGTGCGGATCGCACCCTGGCCTGAGGCTTGTTGAACCCCATTCTCCCTGCACGCTTTGTATCCTGAGTTGTGCACAGTAGGCAGTCAGCAAACGGCTGTTGAAGGGTTCTCTGCTAACCCTCTGCACGCCTACAAAATGACCCGGATAGTCAGGGGATGGCCGAGGTCCCCTCGACCTAGATATGCTGTGACTTGTACTCCGTGTGTGCCCAAGCTTAAGAGCTGTCCAGATACCCCCAACCGTGGTCCAAACCAGGTAGATGTTTAAAACAGCTCTTTGTTGCCCAGTTTGTTGTTCAGCTCGCTCCGTAGCACGAGCACACACTGCCCTCAGTCACTAATGCTAAGCAACTCATCCATTAACCAATTCGGGGGTGCCAGGGTGGCTCAGTCGGTTAAGCATCCCACTCTTGATCTCAGTTCAGGTCTTGATCTCAGGGTTGTGAGTTCAAGCCATGTGTTGGACTCCACGCTAGGCATGGAGCCTCCGTTAAAAAAATAATTAACCAATTCATTCGTTCAACAACAAAACATTTGGAGTGAGCGCCATGCCCTGGTGGCTTGTTGGGATAAAGTCAACAAATCAGACCCCCACATCTGGAAAAGGCATGGCAATGGATCCACTCCTCTTTTTTGTGATGATTTTTTAGAAAGTGTTTTAATTTTTTTTTTTAATGTTTTTATTTATTTTTGAGACAGAGACAGAGCATGAACGGGGGAGGGGCAGAGAGAGAGGGAGACACAGAATCGGAAGCAGGCTCCAGGCTCTGAGCCATCAGCCCAGAGCCCGACGCGGGGCTCGAACTCCTGGATCGTGAGATCGTGACCTGAGCTGAAGTCGGACGCTTAACCGACTGAGCCACCCAGGCGCCCCTAGAAAATGTTCTATACGTCTGGAGGGATGAGATCGCACCAGTTCCAACTCGTTAGTTTACCGGTGGGGAAGTTGAGGCCAGAAGGTCAGTGGTGGCAAAACTGGCACGGGCCGTCTGCCTACAGGGTGGAGACCTTGTGCGGTGGGCGAGGTTGGCCCACAGGGGGATCTGGAGAAGGGTGTGGGCTTGCAGAGCTTGGGTTCCGAATCCTGTATCTCTCTGGGCCTCGGTACTGTCTGCACTGAAAAGGACCCACCCCACAGGATTGTTTTGGGGACCGAGTGAGACAACGTGCCTGGCTCCCAGGAACCCTCCATAAATGGTGGAGGTCCCCATTTGTAGCCCAGGGCTACCAGCCACACTTGTTAGAGTCCAAATGGCAGTCTTTATGAAAGCTGGGAACATTTGGGAAATCTGCTTCTTTGGTTTGTGGGAAGTAACAAAGCTAAGAGCCCAGACTCTGGACTGTCCAAACAAGTAGGGTTTTTCTCTTTACAGAGTTTATAGAGCGGCAGCATGCGAAGAACAGGTATTACTACTACCATCGGGAGTTCCGTCGTGTGCCAGATATCACCGAGTGCCAGGAAAAGGATGTCTTGTGCATGTTTGAAGCAGAAATGCAATGGAGGAGAGACTAGTATGTCCCTTCTTAAGTCAGGGAATACTGAGCCTTGCACAGTGAGCATCTCTGGCTGGGCCCTTTCCCTGGGGAGACCCTGGGATGGTGGTCGGTTGACAAGAAGGCCTCCTGGGCTTGGCCCACATCTTGTGGGTGGAGAGCCCCGACCTATGACGTCTGGGTACAGGTAAGGATTCTTTGTGGACCACTTTCTTGGTTCTTCTTTCAGTAAAGTCGATCAAGAAATCGTCAATATTATCCAGGAAAGGCTGAAGGCGTGTCAGCAGAGGGAAGGCGAGAGCTACAGGGAGAACTGCGCCAAGGAGATTGAGCAGTTTGCCCACGTGGCCAAGGCCTACCAGGACCGCTGTACGTGAGCCCCCACACTGGCCTCATCCTTCAACCCTCCCATTTTCTCCAGTCAGGGTTTTTTACTAACATTCCTGCCCAAGTGTGCTGACTGGCTGGGGGAGGGGTCTGTTTGCTGCCAGGTATCTGTGCTGCCTTTTCTTTCTCTGCTTCTGAAGACTCCAGTCTATGCCTTTGGTAGATTTGGCCCATGACTTCCCTCCCCCCCAATCTCTTCCTCAGATCATGACCTGGGTGCCCATTATTCAGCCAGAAAGTGCCTGGCGAAGCAGAAGCAGCGGATGCTGGCAGAGAGAAAAGCTGCTAAAGAGGCCGCCGCTGCGTGAGGCAGCTCTTTCAGCCCCCATACGGAACTATTGCTAAAATAAAGAGTAATATCAAATTGGCTTTTGGTCTTTTTCAATCCTTATTTGACCTATTGGTGAATCTTAATTCATTTCGTTGGCTTCATCGCCCTTCAAATCTACCTGCTACTAAACTTGAAATAAAAAACACTATTAACAAGCTTCAATTCACTTTATTCTTCTCATACAAAACTATGTGGTGGCCACAGCTGGAGCCTGGGTCCTCTGCACAGAGACTCTGGTGTGGGTCTTTACAAGATGGTCAGTGAATTCCTGGGAAAAACAGAGACTTAAGTTATACAGATGCCGCCCCATCGTCCACACTTGTCCAGGCTCACAAGGCGGGGGTAGGCAGGCAGTACCTGATAGGGAGACTTGGTGAACACAGTCTCCTTCCAAAGATCAGGGGTGAGATAGCTGTAGGTCTTGGAAATGGCATCAAAAGTGGCCTTGGCTGCAAAGGGGAAAACAGGA